AGCAAGGGGGAATTTTGCTTCAAATCCTTACTTGCTTAGCCATGGAAATCACTGAATAATTATCAGATAGTAACCTGGAAATGGGATGGAGTTAGGGTAGGAACTAGATGTGGTTGTAGGCTGGAAAGCCAACAGTGAAATCCTTAGATGAATCATTAACTTACTAATGGACCTGGGATATTTTCCAAAATAGAAGTGGCATCTTTTCCTGATTTAGACTGAATTTTGAGGGGCATCCCAGTAGCGGCATTGTAAAAAATTAAACTGTGGAATCAGATCAAAAAGCAAGTTTGATTGAGTTTACATTTAATTGGATTATACTCCAGTAATTTAAAAAATCTCCCTCTTTCAACATTTTTAAAACATCACAATTTGGAAATTTTTGGAACACTTGAAGATGTATGTGAAAGGTCTACAGAAATGAAGAATATATTATGATTATGGTTGTGATGATTTTGCAATAAGATCCAGTCTTCCTATTAAATCCAGGAACAGTACCTCTCTGAGAATAGAAAAATAGGCTTGCAAGACTACACCTTTTAGGCAACATGGCAAAAGAGAACAATGGCTACTATTTAGTTCAACATATCTGGAGGGCAATCAGTTAAAGAAGATTAAAATATAATGATAGTAGCAATATTTTCATATTATGATAAAACTTTCTGGTTCTACATTCCTTTTCATTAACAAGGTCAAATGATGTGAAGATCAAACTACATTTTTTCACTATTTTGTGACTTGTTATCGTATTTGGCAAGGAACCTGGGCCAAATGTATCCAGTTATCATGTGAAATAGTAGACTGCCTGTTGTCCTGTTGTTACTTTTCAAAAGGATGTTTCAAAAAAATACATATATTGTTCCACCATCAAGGACCAAACTCTTGTGATGGTTTTACAAGTAATACCATGACAGGACAATGAAGTAGCCACAGGAAACAGTGATATATACATTTCTATGTATTATATTGTGGATGAATGTATACTCAGTAAAAAGAAGAGGCCTGCCAATACTAAATGTTGTGGTTATTGTTGTTGTTGTCGTCGTCATCATCATCATCATCATCCCACTGTAAATTGTCAGTATTCATGGGTTTGTAGCTATGATTGCTATAAAAACTCAGGCTCATTTAGGGCAGCAATCTTCAAGCCACATCCTTCAGAAAATCCTGCCAACATGCTGAGATAAGTCCCTTGCAATAGTGGATTGAGACCTGAGACTTTTGAGTTATATAGTAGAACTGATATAAATTGTTATATATGTCCTTATTGCTTTGCTTAAATATTTGCTTGTCTTTTAGCATATGACAGATACAGTGTAAATATTCTGAATGGACTGATGTCCCTATTAAGCCAGCCCAACCAGAAAGCTTCATAAGTGAAAAATTATTCATGTTTAAAAACTCTAAAATGTAATTCCTGGCTATATATTGAGCCCAATCAATACTTTTCTGAGATAGAGAATAAAATACTAGCACAGATGAGCTATAATACAAGATAAAGTCCTTGGCTGTTTTTCATAAGTATATAATATGTGTAGCAAATGTCAAGAGTACTGACCAAGGTCTCTGTTTTTTTTCCTATATTCCTGACTCAGCAAATTTTCCCCATGTTCCTGGCTCAGCAAATAAATAATTCACATTATCCACAATATTTAAAAGTATTGGATTGGAAGTGGGGAGACTCAGATTCAAGTCACCTCCAGCCATGAAAATTCAATGAGTCAGACAGATTCTTTCAGTCAAAATAAACAGATATGTGAGTAGGAAGGTAGGTAAGTAGATACAGAGAAACAGGCAAACAGACATGGTGTTTTCCCCTTTACCAAGGAATTCATTCAGAAAGTCAGCTATTACTGAGTCTTGAGGTAAAATCTAGGATTATGCTATGTACATTTATGGCAAGCAAGATCACTTGTTCATGTAGTAATAAAATGGAAGGATGAAATGGCACATTCTCTCATTTTAAAACTTGGTTATTCTAAAATGCTAATAATAAAATAAAGGTAACTTGAATCAATTCTCTGAAATTTGAGTCAAGGAAAATAACAATGATCATTAGTGGAGGAAAATCAACAACTTGGGTTACACAGAGTACTGCATATTTGCAAGGTTACCTGGACAACTAAGAATGTAGCATTGTTCTATTCCGTGGCACATGAATGAATTCCCAAGTGACTTAACTCTTTTATTAAGCTGAGGAGCATTTTAGCTTAGAATATTTATTACATTTTAGAATATTATATGTGTATGTGTTTGTGTGGGGTTTTTTAGCTGTAGTTGTTCTGTTCTCTAATGTCTGTTTTTAGTGATTCTGCTTCTTGGCTACACAACTTTCTTATTTTTATCTCCATTCAGATCCACACTAATCATAATAGAGAGATGTTTGATCATATTCTCCTGATTTATGGTTTTATATTACTCCAGCTTCAAATGCATGCACAGAACCTGGCAAGAGAGAAATGGGCTTTAGCCAGCTTGAAATGGGCATCAGCAGGCTTAGAATTGAATTGTTTTATTGATGGTCCATAATAAAGCTTCATTTGAAGATATAATTTTGACTGCAAAGGCCCATCTGATTTCACAAGTGCATGTTTATCCTAGCCATTTTTATCCTCTGCACATAGAAGCATTGTAGCCGATATTCATATTTTCAGTGAGAGAGGAGCCCATTTTTAAAATTTCAGCATGATTTTTAAAGAGAAAAAAAAAATCTTTTTAGTGGAACTAATTTTCTCTAGAGAAACGCTTTTAAAAACTTAACTCATAGAAAGATGGCAAAGTAAGGTATCATCAAAACATTCTTCAGCCAAATGAATATCTGCAAATACTTGTCAAAGAAACATATTTGTGCTGATACCACATCCCTAAGTGACTTGAAAAATCCTCTTGATATGTGTAATTGTGAACATGTGAGATTAAATGTATACAATCTTGGCAAATTTAAGACCTGTAGACTTCAACTTCCAGAATTCTGAGCATTGAAGTCTATAACTCTTAAAGGTTGGACACACTCCTGATGTATACGGAAAAATTCACCACAGATTAATACAAATATCTGTAGGCATGTGTGCAAATACCTGCACAAAGTGAAACAACCTTAACTGCTTTATAAATCAATATTTTTAGCCCAGCAGAGATGGTGACAACGACCAAATCAAATTCTGGTGTTCCCTATATAACTCCTATAAACAAGTTTCTTGAGTGTCAATGCTCCCTATCCTTCTATCTCCACCCACTGCTTTTCTTTTCAAATGGTTATTTTTTTATTGAAAGTTTTTACAATTTTACAGTAAAATCCCTCTCCCACTACCTCCCTACCCTCCCAAAAAACCCTCCTCCCCTCTTCCCAGAGCTGAATACAGGGTTAACTAAAACTAAGAATACAAAACATTTAAACTTAAGAAAACCTCAAACAAAAATTACATTAAAAAAAAGAAAAAAAATCCAAAAAATATATATAATAAAAAATAATCTTAAACTTTAAACTTTAAACATAAATTATTCAAAAACTAAATAATATCTTTTAATATCATACTTATACTGTATAAAGTTTATCCATCTTTTCCACACCAAGAGATATTTCTCTTGTGATTGATCTTTCAAGTAAGCCAAAATTTTTGCCATTTCAGATAAATAAGAGACTTTAAAAAACCATTCCTCCAAAGTAGGCAAAAATTCCTTCTTCCAATATTGTCCTATCAACAACCTTGCCACTGTAATTAAATTTAACATTAAAATAATTTCTTTATCATCACAATCAACAATAATACCTAACAAAAACAATTGTGGAGTGAATTTTATCCTTCTCTTAAAAATTTTTTGAATATTCCACCATATCTTTATCCAAAAAGCTTTTATACTTTTACATGACCACCAAATATGATAATACGTTGCATCCAAACACCCACATCTCCAACATTTAGGTTGCAAATTTGAATACATACGAGACATCTTTTGTGGATCAAGGTGCCATCTATAAAACATTTTATAAAAATTTTCCCGTAAATTTTGAGCTTGCGTGAATTTAACATTCCTCACCCAAATTATCTCCCATGTTTCTAATAAAACCGGCTCATCAAAATTTTGAGCCCATTTGACCATGCAATCTTTAACTAATTCTGTTTCTGAATCCAATTTGATTAATACATCATAAATTCTTTTTATATGAGATCGGCTTTGATCTTTAATTTGTTTCAACAAATTTTCATCCTCTCTAATCAAACCCGCTTTATAATCTATCTTCCACCTTTCCAATAATTGTCTATACTGAAACCACGAATAAATAATATTTTCTTGTGTTAATTCATCTATATGTTTTAATTGCCAATTCTTCCCATCCCAATTAAGTAATTGTTTATAAGAAATACTATCCATCTTCACTCCTTTCCTTATTCCTTCTATTGCATGCCCCGGGATAGCCCATAATGGAATTCTTGAGTCTATTCTATAATATTTCTTCCAAACTCGAAGTAAAGAAATTCTTAAAATATGAGACTTAAAAGCCCTATCCACCTTCTTATTATAAATTAAATAGACATGCCATCCATATAATAAATCCCACCCCTCCAAAAGGAGTATATCTACATTTGTTAAATTAATCCAATTACTAATCAGTGTTAAAACCACGGCATCATAATTTTCAAGTGATTATTGATGTGGCACTGTGGCAGCCATTTCATGAATGGACAGTCCTGATTCTCTCAAGGTAGCCCTAATAACCCATGAGATGCTTATAAAATTCCAAATATAACCATTTATCAAAAACAAACAAACACAAAAACTGGGGAATCACTAGATTAGTGAATCCAGTCAATTAAAGAGTAATTTCCATTCCTTCCATAATTATCTCTCCTGATACTACATAATTAACATTATTAAATCCACAGGAGTTTTTAAAAAGGTTCTATTTGAACATAAAATTAATAAAACATATGGATGTGAGCAACAGGATTGGTCTGGATGCCTGTCAATCAATGGTAGTTTCTTGATTTGTTAAGTATTAGGTATTTACCATTCAACAGACTATTTTTACAGTATTAACCACAATTTAATTAAAATTAAAGACATTGCTAGTAGCTCTTTTTTTCTATTACTGAAAGTAAACAGCGTTTCATTTACATTGAAATTCAGAAATGAAAATTAATGCTCTGTTCCCTAGTGTATTCTCAATCAGCATTGGCTCCTCCACCTGTTTTCATACCTGGTTCTATCATGTATGTACAAATCTTGTAAATATCTGAACAGATCTTGTATTGAAGAACCCAATTCAGAATATTGATTTTTTGGACCCAAACAAGTAATGCCCGTTTACTGAAAGATACTGGTTTCCTCAGTGTTTGCTCAGGGGAGGAGAAAGAGAAAGAGAGGACAGTCAAACTACAATGTAGCTAGTTTGACCTATGTTTTACTATATACTATGTTTATTCAAATATTCTCCTACATCTTCACATGTCAGGATAGCAATAAGAGACCAATTAATGAAAAAATGTGATAAGTGATTTAGGTGTGTGTTGGCAGTGTAAAAAAGAAATGAGAGAGACCTTGAACATTCCCAGTTCCTTAAACAAGTTTCCAATCCAGTCAACCTAGTGAATTATAACCATATATTATCTGATGGATTTTTTTTATTAACTTCTGGGTTGGTTCATTCTGAACTCAAAGTTACAAAAATTTCAACCAAACTACAGATGAACTGTATGTATTCAGAATGAATCAGCCCAGAAATAGACCTTGATAAAAATACCTAATGCTAAATATTTCTTAACAGGTATGGATACTATCAGTACATATCTATTCTAATTATCACTCTGTATGGTGGTTGTTTGGGCTTCAGAAGAAAAATAAGGAAGATATAGAAGCAAAAGAGAAAACAAGTGGCTTTGTGATTAATATTTATTAAGCTGCAAAAATGCATGTAGATAGATCAAGAAATAGATTAGATAGATGATGATCGAAAGCTATAGAAAGATAGATAGCAAGCATTATCTTTAAAAAGGCATCTTCATTTCTTTTAAAATAATTGCCATCTATCATTTAAAAAGAAAAGTATTCTCCTTTGGGATGAATTATCACTTTTAGTTACAACAGACAAAATCAGATAATTGACTAAAATTATATCATAGCTTTGATTTACAGAAGGGATACATACTGAATATTCATTACTCCATTTGCTCATTTGTTCATATCTGAACTTTTTCCCACTAAAGTCATTGTGAAAATCAAATCAACAATATAAAACATGGTGGAAATAACAGTGCTTAAGAATATGCATCAGCAAATAGTGGAAGCAATAAAAAATGGATAAACAAAGCAGAAATGAATACATGATTTTTTAAAAAAAGATATTGAAGGACTCTTTTCATGTGTGTTTCAAAATCTTGCAATTAATCAAGTTGACTGCTGCTATAATTCATACCAGATCCTGAAGCAGGCTCACTGAGGTGGATAAGATTTTATCTTTTGGAATGCTCCATCATATAACATATCACAGTTTCTTGTACTTTGTTGCTCTGGAGCAACCGAAAAGGAATACATTGTACAAATCGTGCCTTTATCAAAAGAAAGAAAAGGAGAAAGGGGGAAAAAATTAAGATTCCAAATATGATCTTACACTTTTATGTATTAGAACAACACAACATTTGGTGCACCATAACAAGATTAAGCTAAAGGCATTTTGGGGCCAGATATAGGGCTTCAAATCTCCCATCACAGGCATTGTCATGCATGGCACCCAAACACAACCAAATTACTTTCCTTGGCAGTGAAAATATCTTTTAACAATACATTGGAATTGTTGTATTATATTCTTGCTGCACATTCATGATTCAGCTCAACTCTCAGCAAGCTTCTAACTGTTGTCTAACTGTTGTCCCACATTGCTTATTCTAAGTTACTTGAATAGACATTCAAGTGACATTGGGCCATTCAGATGTTTTGGATTCCCATTGCCATAATATCCAGGCAGCATAGACAACAATTATGCTGGTGGGAGTTTATGGGCATTAAAGTTAATAATGCATGGAAGGTATCAAGAAACAGTTTTTCTTATCACTGATATCCAAGATGTTTCTTTAACAAAACATGCCAGGAATTGTCTGGTTACAAAACCGGGGGATTTTCTACATGCAAAATATGTGATGTAAGCTAGAGATCCTTCACCATTATAGTGTTATAAACATTCAGATGAAAATCCATAGTCAATATGGATTCAGCGGAGCACCAAAAAGATCTAAAGTTTTCTTCAGTATGTCATAATACAAAATGTATTATCTAAAGTAAGAATGTGCAATCACTAGTCTCTGTATCATTCATGGTTCTCAGCTTTTTTTTTTTACAGGCAACTTAATTTTCAGATTTTAAAAAAAACAGAAATAAGAAGCAAGAGTTGATTTTAATTCTGTGACAGGATTCTTCACAAATCTCAACAATTCAATGTAGTATTTGCATGGCCATATAAAATCATATAATATATGGGCATGCCAGTGGTCTTCTTCCTGAGAAGACTAGTTTTAGAGAGTGAGTTACTGAAGCTAAAACTGAGGGTAGGGCAGGGGTTCTCAACCTTGGCAACTTTACGACTTGTGGACTTCAACTCCCAGAATTCCTCAACCAGCAAAGCTGAAGTCCACAAGTCTTAAAGTTGCCAAGGTTGAGAACCCCTGGTAGAGCGTCAGTGTCTCATATACTGCTAGCTAAAACTCAGAAGAATCTTTTGCAGCTTTTCAGATTAACAATTTTTTTAATTAACAGGCATGAGTTATAACTTGCTTCAACAGATGTGATCATCATCATCATCACATTAGGCCTTTTAATAAAATGCATTAGTTGAAAAAAATGCTACCAGACTCCTAATTTTGAGCTATAATAGACTAACACAGTACAAAACTGCTGCCAGAATAATATTTCTCAACCTTATCAAGTGGAAAAGCTGTGGACTTCAACTCCAAGAATTCTCCAGCCAGTTTTGAAGTCTTCAAGTTGGCAAGGTTGAGAAACACTGCTAGAGGAAAGCACTATATTTTTTGCAATCTAATTCAAATTCATAACTGGATTACCAAGATTTCATGGGCTAAACATCCAAATGTTTCATCACCAAGTGTAACATATCTCAGTGACTCTTGTGCAAACTCTTCTGCTGCTTTGGTGATCAAATTAGGCTGTTTATGCATGATCATCGGAGTAGAAACAGCAAAGGGAGTCACTGCCTAAAATAAGGAGAAAAAAACAGTCACAGTTTCACAGTTTCACATTCCACAAGCCCCAATCTATTCAGTTGATTTAATTCAATGCTTATTGCAAAAAGAAAAAAAAAAGAAATGTAATTACCTGTATCACAATTCCTTTTGACTTATATTCTGCTTGAAGTGCTTTGGAAAATGTGTGTACAAAAGCCTAGGTAGAATTACAGAGAAACAAAGGGACAGTTTTAAAGAATATTACATTGCTTGTACACATTTATGAAATTATTTTGTAGATCTGAAGCCTGATTTCATTCAAGGCCCTTTTTTAAAATCTTTCCATTTGTTCTTCCTATCACTATTTGGTGTCATTGCTGAATACTGAGAATATAGAAAGTTGCATCCAAATTTTGTTCAGTTAATTCAGATATAAAAGACCCCTTGCAACATATCCAGGAATCCCAATCAGAAGAAGGCTGCCTATATAAAAAATTGTCATTCTTTCCCTCTAGTGAACTGGAAATTATTTTTACAACTAACATGTTCAGGTATTCCAAATGAATATTTGAAAAAAGAATATTAATTTAATAACTGGAACAGGTAAACAGGATTGCTATCATAATGGGGAAGAAAGATAAAATGCTCAAAATAAAACTGACAGTTTACCCAATTCTCCCCCTCAGGTTTTGGACAAATCATATTTGTTTCCTGGTAACATTTTTAAGTAAATTGGGATTAAAATAAAAACACACTTTAGACATAGTTTCTGCCTTTTCTTAGGTCTTGCTTAATTTGTGCTAGCAGACTAGTAAATGTGTACATGGGCTGATGGGAAGTTGTCCTATGTTCCTGTTTCATCATTCATGGGAGAAAAAAACTTTCTGTTTGGTCTTCCAGTTTCTTTAACATCAGGGCTCTGAATAACCTTTGCAGAGTTCATCACAATGGAAGTATATGATGTCTGATTTCAACTTTTAGAAATGGCAAGTATTTTTTTAATATCATGAAACCAATAACCATAGATTAAAAACTGAAGTACAAAAAAAATTAAAGTCATACCTTAGATGCAGAATAGATTGCATATAAAGGACAAGGAAAGGTGCCAATGGCTGATGAAAGATTAAGAATTAGACCTTTTTTTCTGAAATGTAAATTGAAAATAACTTTTAGGTATCTTGCATGCACTAAACTAATACACTTACTCAGGTTTCATAGATGCCAGTACTTACCCAAGCTCAATTTTCTTAGGAGATTTATGGCATTTCATTGAGTTAATAAGTACTTACCCTTACATAAGACAAAGTCTGCAAGATCCCTGTCTTTCATTTGATGTCTGGAGAAATCCACCATAAAAAAAATCCTGCCAGGGGTTATATCAGGGGTTCCCAACCGGGGGTGCGAGACGATATTCCAGGGGGTGTGAAAACTTGGGTTCTCAAAATTATAGTGTATATGCATAATTCATTGCCGTTATTTTGAACTTTTGTAAGGGGTGCAAGAATATATCAGAAGCATTCCAGGGGCGCAGGATATAGAAAAGGTTGGGAGCTGCTGCTGTATATCCTTCAAGGCCAGCCTGCAAACTGCTAGAATAACATTAACTAATGGATTCAAAAGCTGGTGAATTTATAGATCATTAGCAGGTGCAGTTGCTTAATGTATGGACAGAAGAGAATTGCCACGGAACATCCTTTCTATCTTATTGGATGGGCTGCATACATTGACCCTGTGATATGGCCTAATACAGGGGTAGGCAACCTTGGTTCTTTTATGACTCATGGACTTTAACTTGAAGTCCACGAGTCATAAAAGAGCCAAGGTTGCCTACCCCCGGCCTAATATCTGGTTTGTGATTATGACATTCTCTGGAAAATGGTGTAATTTATGCCAACCAAAATCAGCCCAAAGTTCATTAAAATCAAAAAGCTTCCCTGAGGAAAACAATAAATAAATTATAATCTGGAAAATTGCTTTACCTTGCCACCATTTGTTTCAAAATGATTCGTGTCATCTAAAAAAAAAGAAGTATAATTAGAACTAGCCCTCACAGCTTGTTTGAGACAATTCAAGAAACATTGGCAATTTAGGCACCACAATGCCCTAAACAGTATATACTGATGTCCCAAATTAGATATTGACTGTGTGTGTATGTGTGTGCGTGTGAGAGAGAGAGACTCCCCCCCCTTTTCTCTTGAAATAAAGTACTTCACCTCCTGAAAACAATCAAAGAATTGTTGAGTCAGAATGTCCCATGAAGGAGGTAAATGCAAACTGATTGTCAAATGCCCAAAATGCAATCACATGACTGGGCTGTGCACAGCAGTCATAACTTCTAGGACAGACCATAAGTAGCCTTTTTGAAATTCATTGTAACTTTGACTAGTCGTTAAACAACTGGTCGTAAGTTGAGGACTACCTGTACTCTCATCAATTCAAATGTGCCCTCCACCCTAAAAAACAGGGGTCTTCAAACTTGGCAACTTTAAGACTTGTAGACTTCAACTCCCAGAATTCCTCAGCCAGCCAGGGCTGGCTGAGGAATTCTGGGAGTTGAAGTCTACAAGTCTTAAAGTTGCCAAGTTTGAAGACCCTTGCTAAAAAACATGGATTCAAGTAGCAAGAAAAACCTCTTACATCTTTTTAAGTAAAATAATGAGAAATGATAGTCAGAGTTTTCCATGAATGTTTCCAGATAACGCTTTTGTTATGCAACTATTGTCTACTTATAACATTCAGATTTTCTTTCATATTTTTGTTACTAGAAAGAAAAACCAATTAAGTGGGGAAAAAACAAACTTGCCAATGTGGGAAGGTCCAGTTCCCTATCTCTGCTGAATGGTATTTTTGACAATTTGTCCAATCTAGAATCAAAGGGCCTGTTTAGAAATGCTTATAGCAACCAAAATATTGTGCATATTTTGTTGGTTTGTACCAACAAAAGGGTTTGAACAAATATCAAAGCAGCAGCTGTCAGATTCTGTTTAGGGAAAAAAAAAACATTTGACATCCTTTAAAGATGTTTGAGATAACTTGTAAACACAAAACTTAAGCAGCTTTTCCTGACTGCTCAAAAGGAAATGTGATAACAAAGCCTTTACTATTATATGATCAGCTAAAGCTGCAATGAACATTACATCAGTTCAAGTTATGCTGCTGTCCCAAATTGCTAAGAAACAAACCCTAGTTTTGCCAGGAAAAGAGTCAAGAACTAAATGCTGCATTATAATTCTTCTAGAAGGAAGGAAAACCAGCCAGTAATCTTTCTGCTGAAGTAAAGCTATTGTTCACAGATACGCAAGAACAGTCTTATTAGTGCCCACTGGCTAAGAAAATTGACCCTCATGTTTATATAAAACAGTGGTTCTTAACCTTTTTAATGCCGCAACCCCCAACCGGTCGTAAGTAGAGGACTACTCAACCGGTCGTAAGTCAAGGACTACTCAACTGGTGCAGCACTGTTTGCAGAATGGGACTTTTGGCGGGCTCAGCAGGGCAGAGACAGCCTGGACAATTCCTATTGGCTTTTGAAAGCCAATAGAATTAGACTCTATTCAAGAGAGTCTATTCTATTGGCTTTCAAAAGCCAATAGAATAAAAGGGAGTAGCACAGCTAAGGAAAAGGGGGAAAAAATGGCGGACTGCATTGTTTGGCGACCCCCATGAAATGGTCGTTCGACCCCAAATGGGGTCCCGACCCACAGGTTGAGAACCACTGATATAAAACATTGCCGATTAAAGGTAGGGACAAACAATTTTTCTATTGAAGGAGACATGTTTAAAAACAATCCAGTCCTTTTGTATGGAGTTTTGAGGTGAGGTACAGGTTTTAAGCCTGTTGGTGTCCCAAAGCACTCATTTTGTTATAAAAAGAACACAGTGAGAAATGAAAGTCTGAAAGTCTACACTTTCCTACATTGCCTACAGCTAAACAATAAGCAAGGATACTAATATACCTGCTTTCACATATTTACCACTAAAGTTGTTTTGCTTGTATGATGTGATGGGAAAGTAAAATGGTATGCCTAGCTTTAGAAATTTTGTTTTGCTATCATGCAGAAGTCATATTCAGTTTTGGTTAGCCTAGGTCAAATATGTCAAACTGCTGGCCCGTGGGCCAGATGCGTCATACCGAAACCGCACCCACCCCATTGCTGGCACTGGGGAAAAAGTTGCAATATGTCACGCGATGTCACATGACATTGCAAATTTGACATGCCTGGCCTAGATGGTTACCCATTCTGATGTCATATGTTTCAACATCCAAAGAGGAAGGGAACCAGCATACAGGCAAAGTGGAGGAGCAGAAAATCCCTGGGATGCTAATGAAACAACAGAAGGAGAAGAATTGAGTAAGGACCATTTTCACTCTATGGATGACAAAGAGTTGCAACCCAGCAACTTGGGGAAGGCCAGACATTGTCAATATCTATGTTTCTTTGCATTCAGTTCAAATGCCATGCCTTACTTTTTGGCAAGCAAATGTAAGAGCTGGTCTGGTCTGTGATACATACCTTAGTGACAGACATGATGTTGCAATTAATGAGGTCCTGTTGAGAATAACACATGGATTACATGGCAGTTGTGCTGATTTGAAGAAAACAAGATGCTCAGAAAATTCAGTTTGGCCTCAGTTTCTAGAATGAGATATTTAAAAATCTGTTCCCACCAGGGCCACACGAGCTTTCCTATTTCATGAGGATTAATTTGCTTCTACAGCAGTGTTTCTCAACCTTGACAATTTTAAGGCATGTGGACTTCAACTCCCAGAATTCCACAGCCAGCAATGCTGGCTGTGGAATTCTGGGAATTGAAGTCCACATGCCTTAAAATTGTCAAGGTTGAGAAACACTGTTCTACAGGATAACCCAAACATTATTTAACTAGATGGCTTGTCTGTAGCACAAGTCAAGCTTCCCCAGCCGGACATTTTTCCTTTCTATGAAATTGATATTTTGCTGCAGAAATAAACATCTTGACTGCCTACGATCCAAAACAACCCATTACCCTTCCTCAAACATCCAATTGTGTCCAGAAATGCATGTTTGATGCTAGTCAAAATGTCAGGCAAGAACAGGCAAATGTCATGCAGAGTTCAAGCTAACTATTATGTTTTGCCTATAATACAAGAATCTCCCCAGACTGGAAGTCTTCTCTTGGGAACAAATAGATAAGGCTCCAAGGAAATCAGGGGGAGTCAGTCCTAGCCCTTTGGCAGTTGTATAGTAAATCCAGGCTTACTCTGCACTTGAACTTTCCTCCCTGCCAGGTCAAGCACTTCCTGACACAAAACTTCATAAAAAAATAATTCAAATGTGAATCAAGCTTCAATCAAATTTAGAAAACTTGTTTATTGGCTACCTATTCAACAAAATTTAGTACCGTATTCCAGAGAAAATGGGAGATGATCATGATAGAAATACTACCTGAAACATTATTTAAGCCCTGATAAACAAGAAAAATTTTGTGAAGAGGCTCAAGAGACTCAGCCTTGAACACTGGAGTATAAGAACGAGGGGTAGTAAAGCACAGTTGTGCTTACAATACTCTGTGTTATAGCTCATCTCAATAAAGTATAATTTTATCATCCCCGTAGAGTTAATTCTCTGGTCTGGTCTATGTAGTGTGACTGATACTACATTTTGTATGAAAACACAAATACATGATCTTATTACTATTATAGAAGAATCCTTACCTCATCTTTGTCTGGAATATTAAGAAAATGGCACGGAAAACGATTAGGTAGCATTCCAACATTGTTAACTAATAAAAAAGAAAAAAAAAGCAAATTAGAATCATGAAGTACAGGGGAACCATTAGAGCCTCTGGATCACATGCAGCCCAGAGTCCCACTCTTTTGATCTCCAGAGCTCCTTGGCTCCTAGATTGTATTGGTATTTTTTTAAAAGCAAAGCTCCATTTTTCTCGGCTGAAAAATGAGAAAAGAGATCAAACCATTTATGCCCTTGCCTTTGTTTTTAATGAAATAATAGGTTCCCAACCCTGACTGAAGATGCTTTTTTTCTGAAGATAAGAGAATACACAGAATTCATTCACAGATAAACACGATTGTTGAATGCTGTTTTCTAATAACACTAATGTCAAATCAACCAGGTCTGTCTGATGAAGACAATTTAATGCTATGTACATTTAAAGGATACAATGTTTTGTTGAGTAATTTATTGGGATGCTTTTCAGACATGATTCAGGCTGAGCTGTAGTACCAAGCAGCATTGGTAGCATAGGTGGATAACTTTTGGAGGGCTCTGGATGAGGGTGATGGCTTTTGATACTATTGATCTTGTTGAATTGGCTCCAGGAACTGGGAGTGGAGAACACTGTTATGCAGTAATTCTCCTCCTTTCTCCGTGGTTGGTAGCAGTCAGTGCTAGTGGGGGAGGGGGGGTCCAATCCTGGGCCCCTATTATGAGGGGCACTTTATGACACAAGTCTCTCTCCCTCCCCTCCTTTCTAATTTCTAAGAACCCACTGGGAGAGGTCATTCCCCAACATGGGATTTGGTATCATCAGTAAGCTAATGTATGGATGATACCCAATTATATATTTCTACCCCATGCTGGGCAAGTGATACTCATCAGATGCTGACTGAATGCCTGGAGGCTGTAAGGCTTTGGATGGGAAGAAGTTGCCTGTGACTCAGTCTTAGCAAGTTGCAGTGGGATTTTGGACCCTCTGGGTCAGAAGAACAGAGACTTCTAATTCTCCTGTATAGGTAACACTCTCCTGTATAGGGAAAAGGTAAAAAGGGCAACTGACAAAAAATGGTTTTTATTAGTATCCCCAAATAGTACCACTACTACCAAAATAGTAGTTAAAAATCAAATTATTTTCACCTGTCACTGGTTTCTTCTACTGAAGGATGATTTTTAAAAAAACTTCTCAGAGTTCTAATGTTCAAAAATTGGTCACATTTAACTAATTCATAAAAAAGAAAGTCTCCTTTGAACCAGCTTAATTTTGGGTGACTTCATTTTTCCATTTTTGGTTAACTTACCCAAAATCCCAATTTCTAATCCTTGAAGGTTTTCTTCAATGTTTTCATATATGTCATTTTCTGTGAAGTCAGCTTGTATGATTTTCACAGTTCTCTTAGTCGTTTGTTCTGCATGGAGGAGAAGGAGGAGGTTTTATATTAATTTATTTCCCCCTATAATTGTATTAAGTTTAAATAGATTAAATCTATGAGGACACCAAAATAGGGACCTTATCTGGAATATTACATCCATTTAAACATATTTGGAGCCAGTTTATTGCTTATGAGAATGGCAGAATCACTGGAAAACAGTTACTATATGACTTAGTATCAGACATTCAATTAATTCATACCCAATGCTGGAAGTCACAGCAGCTTCCAAAATTTATTGTAACTTTTATTAAAATTTATATCTATTTCAGTAAAAACTACACAAATTTTGTTTACCTTAGAGGTTAACAGATGAATTAGCATATAAGCTTTAGTATTAAATGTTGGTCACAATCCTTAGTAAGCAAGACACAAAGGGATCATATGTTGTGCCATGAATAAATCAATTTTTGTCTGCCAGCAATTTTTCTATTAGATTCAGTAGCATTTGCTTGAGGAAGATATAGTGAATCATGGGACAAGATTACCTCTACTGCTGTTGCAAGATTTCTTTAATGGATGACATGTTAGTTCAATAAAAATAGCTTTGGGTCAAAATAATGCATTCTTTTGATCTATTGATCACAATGACATTTGAAACATAATATATATCGTTCTCACTTTGTGTCCATTTGTTCAATGGCGCTGAAAAAGATTTATGACCTGTTCTCAAAATTGTGGCTGTCGCCAGGTCCCTGCAGTGACCTAATCACAATTCAGGCAACTGGCACACATTTATGATGGTCACAGCATCCCACAGTCGTGTGGGTGTGTGTGTGTGTGTGTGTGTGTGTGTGTGTGTGTGTGTGTGTGTGTGTGTGTGATCACCATTTGCAGCTTTCGCAGCCAGCTTCCATCAATTAAATTCAATAGGGAAGTTGGCAGGAAGTTGCTAGTTGTGGTCAAATGATGTTGCACTTAACCCACAGTGATTCATTTAATGAACTGCTAGTCCCACTTGCCGAGTGAATGTGAGGATTATTTGTACAGGAAGCCATGATGGGTTCATTTAAAAAAAATAAAATCGAATTCCACAATTGCACATTTGAATTTAATTGAATTAAGTCTGCCATTTCTACCCATGCATTATCCTAGAACGTAAAGCTTTCTGCCTGTAGTATTAAACCAGTGTTTTTTTCCTCTATTCCCTTCTTCCAAATTAACAGTCAGTCTGATTAAACTTGAAAGCTTCCCCATTGTTTTGTATCATTTTTGCTTCATTGCAATGAAGAATTCTTCTGCTGTGAGGCTACAATGTGAACATGAGATACCTTGGGCAAAGCTCCTTCTTGTTAGATACTAACCAATTTCCAAGGCTACCTTCTCCAAGTTTTTGAGTGACCGACTTATGAGAACCACATTTAATCCGTGCTTGGCAAGCTGAAAAACAAAGTTCAGCAATATTTAAAATTTTATGCTGAATTAATGGACCACCTCCTATGTGAAAATGTGTACTTTATTTAAATGCTGTAAATCCAATACTACCATTAAGAAGAATGAGCATGGGAGGTTGTGGGTGTGTCTTTATATATTTACTGTGTAAAATTTAATGAAGAATGGTTACAGGAACTGGGCATGGCTAGTCTAGTGAAGAGAAGGACCAGGGGAGACAAGATAGCAGTGTTCCAATATTTGAGGGGCTTTCACAGAGAGGAGCGGGGTCAACCTATTTTCCAAAGCACCTGAAAGCCAGACAAGGAATATCAGATGAAAACTGATCAAGGAGAGATTCAATCTAGAAATAAGGATAAGTTTTCTGACAGTGAGAACAATCAACCAATGGAACAGTTTGCCTCCAGATGTTGTGGGAGTTTCATCACTGGAAGCTTTCAAGAAGAGACTGGACTGCCATCTGTCAAAAATGGTGTAAGGTCTCTTGCTTGGCCGGCGTGGGGGGGTGTTGGATTAGATGACCTACAAGATCCCTTCCAACTCTGTTATTCTAATTCTAAATGTTATTCTAATTCTAACAATACATTCTTTTTATATGATTTCATGGAGAAAATTAATGTGGTTTCTAAAAGTCAAAAATATCTCTGCATATAATCAATTAATCAATCTTTGTATGATTGTGTTACAAAAATGATCTCAAAATTCTCTTCTCTGTAAACTAGAATATAAAAATAATAAAGTTGGAAGGGAGCTTGGAGGTCATGTAGTCCAACCCCTTGCTCAGGCAGGAAACTCTATACCATTTCAGACAAATGGCTGTCCTGTCTCTTCTTAAAAACTTCCAGGGTTGGAGCATTCACAGGTTCAGGAAGCAGGTTGTTCCACTGATTAATTGTTCTGTCAGGCAATTTCTCCTTAGTTCTAGGTTGCTTCTCTCTTTGGTTAGTTTCCATCTGTTGTTTCTTGTCCTGCCTTAAGATACTTTGGAGAATAGCTTGACTCCCTCTTCTTTGTGGCAAACCCTGAGATATTGGAACACTGCTATCATGTCCCCCCTAGTCCTCCTCTTCATTAAACTAGGCATTCCCAATTCTAGCAACTGTTCCTTATATGGCAACCATTCCTTATATCCAAGACTATACATATTATTGGGTGACTACCCAAAATAATTTGCTTTTTAACCTTTTAAATTTTGTAAAGCTATTTTCTTTCCTGGTTTAAAAATATGGTGTCATAAAACTAATGTTAGATCTACACAAGAAGCATATTTTCACTGGTTTTCACTGGTTTGTTGTTTGCCGTGCTTCATCACATATAGATCCCAGCTTCCTTCAGCTGGAATGGCAAAATTCTGTGCAAACAGGTGGCTTTCATCTTACCTCCTGGAATCTGATGGCATGGAAAGCATCTGATGATACTATCAACTTACTGGCAGAGAGCTCAATTCACTTCCTGGATAGCTAGATTTGAAGGCATGCTTAGTAATGTCCATAGAAAACTTTATCATGCAAAACACGGTCTGCTTGTATCAAGTTATTCTAAACCTAGATAATTATTGTAGGCAATGATTGCCCTTTTATTGAAGTAAAGATAAATAGCATATATATACTGTATTCCTGTTCCTACACAACAGGGGACATGATGGCTCAGAGGTTGAAGACACGGGCGCTGCACAATAGGGTGAGCTTCCATTCCTGCCCCAGCTCCTCTCCACCTAGCAGTTTGAAAGCATGCAAATGCGAGTAGATTAATAGGTACCACTTTGGTGGGAAGGTAACAGTGTTTCATGAGCCTTTGGCATATAGCCATGCTGGCCACTTCACCACAAAAAATGTCTTCAGATCATGCTGGCTCCCTCAGCCAAGAAATGGAGGTGAGCACTGTGCTCTAGAGCAGTGTTTCTCAACCTTGACAATTTTAAGGCATGTGGACTTCAACTCCCAGAATTCCACAGCCAGCAATGGCTGTGGAATTCTGGGAGTTAAAGTCCACATGCCTTAAAATTGTCAAGGTTGAGAAACACTGCTCTAGAGTCAGACAGGATTGGACAGGGAAACCTTTACCTTTTACCTCTTATGCAACTTGATGGAAAAGAAATTAGCCGTTGGAAAAGAATCCAATGCAAGTAGAAATTTAGATGAATTCTCACAGATAGGGGCAGGGTTAGTTTATGTTATCCTTTAGCAGTGTGGGTGAATGGCAAATCTTTCACTCTGCCACCCACCATCCTGCCAGTCATCTGTAGCCTCTCTGGTTCTCAGATGTCAATTAAATCTGAAGAAAAGGGGCATTTGTTTTTTTTCTACCACTCAGGTACATGCACGGGCATGTACCAGAGTGCTAAACAGATTGGTGGAATGATATACAACCCCAAATACCATTACTGTAGCAGCAGCAGCAGCTGCTACCCCCTTATAACTATAGCATTAGTATTTCAGCAATGAAGTAAAACTAAAACAAAAACCTGACACCTCTTCAGAAAGGAAAAAAAATATTTCAAGAAGTTGGAAGAATAATTTTGGCACAGTATTAATGATAAACTATTTACACAGCACATTAGAATGTATTCTAAACTATCTGAGCCCAATATAAACATGAAATATATGTTTACCACCTCCAATGAGTAGGCTCTTCCAATTCCACCTCCTGCTCCAGTGACCACTAAAAAAAAAAAGAATATAATGTTTAATTATCTTATTCCTTTTATAACATCTTAATATGTATATATTTTCCTCTCACTTTCATCTTTAGACATAAGACATGTAGGGGCCTAGCAAATGCATTTGAGCTAATTTATATTAGAACAAAGTTTTTTACTACATTAGTTTTGAAATAGCATGGAAAGCAGCAACTGGGGAATTTGGTGATTTGGTTTTGTTATAATAATAATAATAATAATAGTAAAGTTGGAAGGGATCTTGGAGGTCATCTAGTCCAACCCCCTGCTCAGGCAGAAAACCCTGTACCATTTCGGACAAATGGCTGTCCAGTCTCTTCTTAAAAACTTCCGGTGTTGGAGTATTCATCACTTCTGGAGGCAGGTTGTTCCACTGGTTAATTGTTCTAACTATCAGGAAGTTTCTCCTTAGTTCTAGTTGCTTCTCTCCTTGCTTAGTTTCCACCCATTGCTTCTTGTCCTGGCTTCAGGTGCTTTGGAAAATAGCTTGACTCCCTCTTCTTTGTGGCAGCCCCTGAGATATTGGAACACTGCTTGTAATACGCATCAATCAAGTTGCTTGTTTAAAATCTCTTTAAATTGTAGTCCAGGGCTACTCTTGATGGAAAGTGGAAAGACCAAGTGAGATTACTCAAAAGGCTGTACTTTAAGAGAGTTTGAAATTAACTAAAAATAGTAACAGTCTGGATATCAAAAGTCAGAAGGAGGTAAATTATTACTTAATTTCTTGGACCCTGCTTTAGGAAAATATGGACCCAGTAAAATTCACTGAAAATTCTTCACTTGGACATAATAACAGATCTAAGCTAGGAGCTGTACAGTAGTATAGAAATTCCGTGCATAATTAAATTCATGCAGAGAAAATATTGTTTATAGAAAATATAAGAATAAGATATCCAATCATGATATATCTAAAAGTAAAAAATCTGTTCATTTTCACTGAAAAATAAATATTGGTGAATTTTATGGGATTTTATATAGACATAGGAAATAATATCTGCATAAATGCTCTAATGTTTCTTAATTACCAAACATCAGAATGTGATGCTTTCAATAAGACTTGTTCCTAGGGGAGAGCACTTAGGATTGCAAATTAATTTCACAATGCTTACATTGCTTATATTTGTTTCCTTCCAAGAGTAGCAAAGTTCCATACAATGCAGAAAATTGTAAGAGATTAGGAAAAAGAAAACCTGAGGCAGTTCAGCAATCATAAGCCTAGTACAGTTGTGATACAATCCTACCAACCTCTAATAAGATAAGCTGTTTGTTTGTTTTTTCTTCCAAGGATACTTGCAGGTTCAAATGAGAAATTAAAAAAAAACCAACCAGTGGTTCTCAATCTTTTATATCTTCTCCATCCAATCCCTCTAACAAACAATCTAAATCCCACTACTGTAATAAAAATGATCATCTCTTCCCAAGAATGGCAGTTATATGTTTACAGGTGATCTAAGATAATTATTATTAATGGTTAAAATTCCAATCTTATTCTGTTATGCATCCCACCATTAAAGAACTACACCTAGGCAATAGAAAATTTATCTGCATGGACAACATGAGGACAGCTACAGAATCATACTGGAATAAAAATATACACACGCATACACACAAAATAGCAATTGCATTCTTGAAAAGCATAACATTTAGTATTAAAAATATTATGGAATTGCATAACACAAGCAAATAGTCCGTTTGTAACTCTCCATGCCATTACTTGCCCATTTTAAACAGTTTCCAAATAAAGGAAAATAGTGTTCTATACTCTGCAGTAAAAAAGAAAATGAACAATGTCTCAGAACAATGAAACAAGTTCCTATTTCTCAAATTTTTTTAGAGATAAATGATATGGAAAACTGACTTTCCAGCACTGAGCTAATATCTTTCCCCTCCACATTGGCATATAAGAATAGCAAAGGTGCCTTTACCTGCCCATTCTCCCATTGAACGAAAATAAGATGAAGGCAAAATATTCCATATGTAAGGAAGAAAATACTTCAAAAACCAAATGCACTTTAGCAGGAAAATGGAACAACAGATGCCCCCAAGGAGAGCAAGCAGCAGCTGGAATTCATCCATGAGAAATTGATAAATGGAGAGGTTGGACAAGTGTTGAAACGGTCCTCTCTTTCTTCCAACCAACAACTGCTTTGAAAGCTGAGCTGGCAGAAGAGAAATAAATATGCCCAATCATAACTTCTCAAGTCATTTGAATCTTGTTCGATGGAATACACTCAGAATAATAACAAAATGATGTCTTCATCCTGTTATGCAAGAGTGTAGAAGACAAACAAACCAAAACATTAGTTCCAGAGCCAACTTGATAATTTTCTTCTTTTACAAAAATAACATGATGTTTGGGCTTCTTGGGATGAGCTCACTCCTAACATATGGACGCTGTCATGATGTCATCATCATCTGAAGATGATGATCTGGTCTATCGATTTGTTACTGAGGGTCACTGTTATCTCCTTGTTTATAAATGCATTAACCCTATGTAAGATTTTTATATATCATCATTGAATTTGCAGTTGTTTCTGGCAGCATGCTTTAATAGAGACAGAGCAATCTTCTACTCATTAAATACACGAGGTAACAAATATAGGATTGCAATCCATATGTCACCTTTCCTCCAAATGGAATGATAAGTAGCATTACTGTTACTACTAGTATTATTACAACTAGCACTGTGGATGAGCAGCCAAATGGACAGGAGCACAGTAGAGAATATGAATTTGTTTATTATTATTTATGAATGTGTACAGAGATGTGCATGGGTGTTTGTGCATTTGATAAATTAGCTCAGCTCTCAAACAGCATGGATAGTATGGAACCCAGAAATCCACAGTTGTTTTCTTACCAGCATGGACTTATTATGAGGAGGGCCCAGAGTGGAAAATGGGCATCAATTTTGATACGAAAAATAATATTCTATTGCCTTGCCAGAGCTTGACTTACTGATAACCTGTTTTCAATTGATTAAAAACCACAACCCCATACACAATGTGGCAAATCTGATCATGGATTCCCCCCCTCCCAAATAATGCTTATCAGGCTCTTTTCCCAAAACTGGACAAGTTCTAAATATGTGGATTTCATTTCCAACATTTCTAAGCAATGGCCAGGCTGTCTAAAATGGAAGACCACACATCTGGAAGTGGCCAAGATTGGAGAACATTGTGCTAGGCTAGTGTTTCTTACACTTTTCTCTATCAGGACCCCTTCCCATTTTTAAAAATAATAAAAAAATAATGGAGAATATGTTTTGTTTTTTGTTCGTATGAGTTATATTTATCTATATCAGTATTAAAAATTAAAATTGATGCATTTGCTGCCACTACTGCTTCTCACAATTATTTAATGGGACTTTAATATTGTATTATTTTTCAACATAGGCTGACAAATAATTTTGGATACCTGAATCTTGGGGAACCTCCAGAAATCATAAGACCACTTCCAGATTATGAAATTTAGCAAGAAAAGGTGAGTAGGTAGAATGTATGGACCCGCAGGATGCTTGGAAATACATCCCACCCAAAAGGTATCGTCCCAACAAAAAACCCACTAGACTGTAGTTGTAGCATTTCAATATTTTTACAAATGTTTTAATAGGTAATGGTGGTGTCCAAGTTGCATTCTTGTAAATAAATACAATTTCTTTTGATTTTCCAGTGTTATAAGTCTTTAATTAAACAGTTTAAAAATATTGAATTCAGGTGGGACAGGAAGGCTGATAGACAGCAAAGGAAGTTTCTTTGGGGCATATTTGTTTTGCCCTGAATGCTCCATTGCCTGCAAATGGTGTGGATAAATTGAGTAATTCAGGTTACAAGTTATATTGTTTTTGGCTGCTACTTTGTGGTTCCTTTCAAGTAAGACTTATATACCACATTGTCTTGCTTCCTTCGTGGACTATACAATAGGTATGTATTTCCTGCATATAATTGCAGATGAATTTAAGATACAATGCAAAATCTAAATAGACTTTCAATAAATATGTTTATAGAAGAATATTTCTCAGGAGCTTATTCTAGCAAATAGAGTTTTGTATAAAATTAAGCTAGCATAGTCTTCTGAAGGATGACCTTCCTACACAGAAAATAGATTACATTGTAATAAAGCGTCTAAAACAGGATTAACAAAGGCTAGCATTCATAAATTCACTGCCTTGCCTATTTAAACAATGTAAATCTCCAAGCTATTGGTTCAGTAAGCGTTTGTTATATTTGCAAATTTTCTCACCATTTTGGTTTGAAATCTGTGCAAAGGTTCCCTACCATGTTCTATCAGAAGAAATACAACATTATCACAGTTCAAAGATGAAAATAATCAGTTCCTGGGAAACCAAATACCCTCAAACCACTCTATTTTGCTAGCATTGATCTGGAGCCTTAACTGAAGCTTCTTGATGATCTTGTAGAGCATATTGCAATAATACAATCCAATTACTGAACCAATCTTTTCTGCTGCCTCAAGGTTTGGGAAAAAAGCACTTTGACAACTGTGAGGAAAAGCCTTACATTTTGTCTCATTCTGTTATTTCAGTTTAAATTTTAAAAAGTGGTCCAAGACACTGACTTACATTTCATTCACTCAGTAACAATGAAGTTATGCTTTACAACAAGTTCCCAAATTAAGTTTTCTTTCATGTAATCTTCTTGCTATTTAGGAAAGGCATTAAAAACATATAAAACCTGTCATGTTTATATGTGATAACAGCATCCACTTGATGTATGAATAGAAGATGCTAATGGATCCGTTTATCACAGTGTTTCTCAACCTTGACAATTTTAAGGCATGTGGACTTCAACTCCCAGAATTCCACAGCCAGCATTGCTGGCTGTGGAATTCTGGGAATTGAAGTCCACATGCCTTAAAATTGTCAAGGTTGAGAAACACTGGTTTATCATAAACCCTCAAGCCTGTAATTCTGTGCCCATTACTCTGAACAAAGTAGGGAAAGGGGTAATTTTTTCATGAGCAGGATTACCCTGTGAGATCATGCAGGCCAGACACTGAAGCACATTTAATTCTATGCTAATACAAAAAGCTTTCACATGGGAACACCCTTTCCTCCATAAATTTCTTTTAGAGAGTGTGAACTATCCTTTAAGAGTATGGTGGGGCAGTGGTTAGAGTGCAGTATCGCAGGGAAACTCTGCCCACACCCTGGCATTAGATCCTACCAGCTCAAGGTTGACTCAGCTTTCCACCCTTCCGATGGAAAAGGATGAGGTAAAATGAGGACCCAGATTGTTGGGGGCAAGATGCTGACTCTGTAAACCATGCAGAGAGTGCTGTAGTTCAGCATGCCCCGATGCTTGTTATGGATGGCTCATCTGAGTTTTCGTAACATTTCACAGTTACGAAATTGATGGTCAAACCATGCTCCATGAACTTCACTAGCAGTACTCCTTTAACATCTTCACATTTGGCGGGATTTTCTATTATCGTGAACCAACACTTCCGGTGTGGTGTTGGTTCACGATAATGCTCACCCGCACACCGCTAGATGCACCCAAGAACTTTTGAAGCAGTTCCGTTGAGATGTTTTTGATCACACACACACACACACACACACACACACACACACACACACACCCTATAGCCCAGATTTGGTGCCGAGCGACTACTACTGAGGAATTTCAAACCTTGTAAGATGTTATGACAACTGCCTCAATTTGAATGGCGATTATGTTGAAAAGTAATGTAATGTTGCAGTTTTTGAATGTGTATAATAAAAGTTCTGTATCTGCGCGGGTCTGTCATTGATAACCAAATGGAGGTTTATTTCTGAATTTCCGTTGTATAAGTCTAAGTACTACTGCTATTGTTCATGCTATCCTGGCAAGAAAATGTTCTTGAGCCTGACGTTCCTGGAAGGATTCAGACTGTGAAAGCTTCCTTTGCAGCTGTGCAGGGCTCAGATTTTAAAGAAAAAGAAAAATACATTTGGGAAGGACAAGGTCAGGGAACTGAGGGAAAGGGAGCAAATGACAATAACAGCATTGCAACAACGTGATTCCAGTTCTGCCAATTTTGTACTTGTGTTGTGACTATCTTGTTTCATCCTCTTCTGAATAAAAGAGATGGTGAATAAAGGATATCTGTCAAAGTCACCATGCACCATCACTGTATGGTTCTTCACAAGAAGGTATCAGCCAATGGAAGAGGCTGAGACTTTCTCCCAAAGCTTGTTTCTGGGTATTGAGCTGAATACTGCCACCACATCTATGAAGGCAATGTGCCATTTTCCTCATGGGACATCCTGGGTGTATGTATGAGTCAACAATGTTAAAAGGGAGATTCCAGTGGGGAAAATGTCAGACTGAATGTCTCCAGAAATGCTACTGATGAATAGCTTGGTACACTATTTTGTCTTCTCTTTCAATTACAGTTTCAATATACAGTATAATAAGTTTGACTCAGTCTGGTATGTGGTGGATGCAGTCAATATATGTAAATAATCTAGTTAGTATTACATACTCCCAATGGCTTTACTTTTTCTTTTCTTAAGCAGAGAGATAACTTTAGTGGTTTCCAAAAGACAAAGGCTCAGCTAGGGGTGTCTTCAAGACAAAGGTCTAACATTGGCATACAGCCGGCATTGTCACTGCTCATACTTTGGGAAAAGTGACATCTGATATCCCACCTGGATCTTTTGGAACGGACAAGTAAAGCAAAATACCACAGTTCTTTTTTCCTTTCACTCTCTTACTTTTTGAGCAGGTTTTCCCATTTTCTTTCTTACCTTCCATAATTTTCCATTTTAGGAGAGCTAATTTTTCATCTCAAGAACAATGCCTGGAGATTTAGAAAAGCTGGGAATTACACTCTGTAACTTTTATTCTTCTGTTATTCTTTTCCTATTCCTATTCTCCTCCCCCCAGGATGCCTTTATAGGGCACTGCATGCCAAAACAACTAGCCACAAAGACAGTTTTTCCCTCCATGCCATCACTCTGCTAAACACCTAATTCCCACAGCACTGCCTTATGCCAAAAGATATTTACTCATGTAGTCGAGCTGTATTGCTATTATCCTTCTCATCTTTCCTATTGCCTTCTTCCATTGGTATCTTATGATTCATCATTTTGTTGTTTGCATCTTAGGATTTATGATTGTATCTTATTCATGATTTATCACTTTGTTGTTTGTATGTATACTGTATGTACCAGAGACAAATTCCTTGTGTGTCCAATCACATTTGGCCAATAAAAAAATATTC